GGTGTCATATTGAGTAGGAAGCAGGCTTGTTTTCTGCTGCTCCAGAGATGAAGACCCGGAACAACAGATGCAAGCTACAGGAAAAGAGTTTCCACCTCAACATTAGGAGTAAGGGCTGTTTGACAATGGAACACACTCCCTCACAGATTTGGGTGGAGTCTCCTTCTTTGGAGGTCTTTAAACAGGCTGGATGGCCATCTGTCGGGGATGCTTTGATTTTGAGTTCCTGCATGGCAGGGGGTTGGACTGGATGGCCCTTGGGGTCTCTTCCAACTCTATGATTCTATGACTGTAAAATCCAAAACTTTACACAGGAAAGTTCCCATAGCACACGCCATCTGGCACCTACACAGATTCAGCTTCTTATCAAAACTGCAAGCTCAGGTTCTTATGATTCTAACAGCGAAAATGGCAAACGCTCAGCACTAAACAAACAAAAGCCCGACTGAGAACCAGAACAGCATCTCGCTGTTGGGAAACCAAGCATAATTCACCATTAGTACGTACGATTAAGGCAGAAAAATAAGATAGAACCTTCTTGTTTCTGCTGCTGTTCTGTATCTTCAAGCCACTTCCGAATTATGGAGACCCTAAGGCCATCGAGGGGTTTTCTTGGCACAATTTGTTCAGAGTGGTTTTTGCCTTTGCCTTCCTCTGAGGTTGAGAGAGTATGACCTGCCCAAGGTCACCCAGAGGGTTTCCATGGCTAAGCAGGGATTCGAACCCTGGTCTTCACAGTCGTAGTCCAATGCTCAAACCACTCCGCCATACTGCCTCTACAATCGAATCAAGGCACCTTTAATTGCACGGTGTGCATAAATAAATTTTGCTATTAACAAAAAAGAATGATAATGTAAGCCTTTTGACCATCTTCTGAGGAATGCTGGATTATTTTTGTCCACACTTCAAAGCAAACTAACCTAATTCTCACACCCTGGATGAATATTTAGTCATCCTTTAGATATCCTTCAGATGCCACACATCTTCAAATATTGTGCAGCTGTTCACTTCTGCATACAGAAACAATACATTTCAGGGAAACATTAGGACACTGCGGATAGGTGTACATGAAAAAGAAATGTGGATTTTTACGTTGTTAAGTTTTAGGGGGCTTTTTAAAAACAGTACAGAATGATGAGAAATGAGACTTGGTTCAGATATAAATAGATTCTGCATTTACTGTATTATATCTGTGGGATGCCTGAAATCTTTTCTTTTAAGGCATCCAAAAATAGGGGAAAGATTAATTAATAAATCCTATGTCCCTACTCTTTTCTTAAAAGGGAACTTTTAAGTTGGCTGCTGTGTCTATTGCTATGTAAAAAAAAAAAAATCAGACCTTTTAACTCTAATCTCTACATCACAGATGAGGAATCTGCAGCCTTTCAGACGCTGGACTAAAACTTCCATTATGCGGGCCTTAGAGGAACTATATTTCAATATCTGGAGGGCTACGGATCCTGTATCCACAGATTCCACCACCCACAGCCTGAAAATATTCCACAAAACATAAAAAATAATAAAAAGCCAAAAAGGCAACCTTGATTTTGCCATTTTATAAAAAGGACACCATTTTACTATATCATTGTATATAATGGGACGAGCATCCATGGATTTTAGTATCCATGGGGAGCCCTGGAACCAAACCCCAGCGGATACTAAGGGCCTACTGTATACATTTTTTTAGTATTTTAAGGATCAGCACAAACGCTCCTCTTGGCCATGGAAACCCGCTTGGCAGCCCTGGCTGAGTCACACTCTCTCAGCGTCAGAGGACAGCAAAGACAACCTTATTCTGAAGAAACTTGCCCCCCCCCCAAAAAAAAACATGATAGGGAGAACCCTAAGTCGGAAACAGCAAGCATGGTGCAGTGGTTTGAGCACTAAGCTGTGACTGGAATCCAAGGGTTCGAATCTTGGCTCAGCCATGTAAACCCACTGGGTGACCTTGAACCGCTCACACTCTCTCGGCCTCAGAGGCTGGCAATGGCAAACTCCCTCTGAAGAAACATGCCGAGAAAACCCCATAACTAAGTCGGAAACAACTTTAAAGGGCACAAGCACACAATTCCAGAAACAACTATGAAGGCACACAACACCAACAGAACTCCCCCATTATCACTTCAGGTAATGTGCTCCTCATTTAGCAGTGCTAAAATGCATTTTATTCATTCGTTACCCATCTTTTCCCCAATACTCAATATATTGCAAGAGATTCAAACAAATACAGATTGAATGACAAACAAAAGCCTCGCTGAAATAGAAAAAGGTTATTTTAAAATGCAGCTATACAATCTATAGATTTGAAACCATCTATTAAAATGGAAGATAAACATCAACCAGACAGCACACACTTAAAAGCCTATTGCATTTAGTTCCTGGAATAAATAAATGTTTACTTGCCAGCCAAAGATAGCAAGGAGGAAATTGCTCTGGCTTCCCTGGGATGTGAGCGCCAAAGCCAGGGAGCAGCCACCAAGAAGGCCCTTTCCCTTGTTCCCACCAAATATACTTGGGAAGATAGAATCATAGAATTGGAAGAGACCCCAAGGGCCATCCAGTCCAACCCCCCTGCCATGCAGGAACTCACAATCAAAGCATCCCCAACAAATGGGGGAGAGAGAAGACCCCTATATATTCTTTTAGGGTTCTGAGTGAAATAAGAGACAGGACTCCTCTCTATTTTATGGTTGAGTAGAAGGGGGAATTCCAGCAGGTATTTCTTGCTATCTGGTTGCATGCCAAGCAACACCTGCTGAAATTTCTTCTTCCACACAACCATTAACGGGACAAGAGACCTGTTCCTTGTTTCACTTGGCACCTCTGCCTCTTCCAGCAAGTGAGAAAGAAGACCATTCCCATCATCCACCTAATGCATGCACAGGCTTAGGGAATTACTGCACGAAGGCAGTCACGCAGTAGCAGCGACACTGAGGGCCTATTGACGGGTTTTGCCCTCCCAAGAGAGGCCATCCAGGCTCCATCCCTGCTTCCCTTTTGGCAGCAGAGAAAAACATTTCTTATGCCGCCAGGCTTTCTCACACTGGCATGGGTGCTGTATAAGGTTGTATAAGAGTTTTCTACAGAGTTTATACATTATACATTTGAATATGTGATGTTTTTAACTTTTAAAAGTTGTTTCATTGATTTTTTTTAAAAAAAACTTTGTATTTTTAATGCTTTGTATTGTTTTAACTTGGACTGTTTTAAAATTTGTTAGCTGCCTTGAGTCCCTGTACCAGGAGGAAGATGGGTTATTTATTTATTTATTTATTTATTTATTAAATTATTATTATTTATTAAATTAGTAGTAGTAGTAATTATTATTAAATTATTATTATTTATTACATTATTGTTATTATTGTTATTATTAAATTGTTATGCTTTATTAAATTAGTAGTAGTAGTAGTAGTAGTAATTATTATTAAATTATTATTTATTAAATAATAATAATACTAAAATTGTTATTATTTATTAAATTAGTAGTAGTGGTAATTATTATCAAGTTATTATTTATTATCAAGTTATTATTATTATTTATTACAGTATTATTATTAGTAGTAGTAGTAGTAATTATTATTAAATTATTATTGTTTATTAAATTATTATTATTAGTAGTAGTAATGACAACAATGATTATGATGATGAAAAATACCTTATCTTCCTGCGTATAAGACTACTTTTTTACCTGCAAAATCTGTGGCTAAAGTGGGGGGTCGTCTTATACGCCAGATATAAGGATAATGAGGGTAGAGGTGCTAAAACTCTATATTTTGACTGGGAAAATGGGGGGTCGTCTTATACGCTGGAAAATACGGTACACATTAACTGATTGCATGCAAGGCGGCAGCAGGAAAGACGTGGCGGCATGCAAAAAGGACCAGTCAAAAACATTTTTCTTGTGTGAAAATCCTGCTTTTTATCCTCATGTGATAATCTCCTTGCTTAGACTGTCCTGCAGCTACATTCAGATAGAGTCCCATGACAATGTGGCTGTTATCACTGAGATAGCATGCAAGGTCTTTGTTTCATTCCCTGCTCCTCCATTAGGGTTGCCAGAGTGAAAAGGGAAGAAGGCTCCTGTGCCTTTAATGGTTGGGTAGAAGAAGGAATGGCAGCAGCTGAGGCTTGCCACACAGATAACTAAGAAGCAACACCTGCTGAAACTTCTACACAACCATTAAAGGGACAGAGTCCTTTCCGGTTTCTAATATCATAACCTCAAAGACCATTAGCTTCTCTTTTCAGAGTGGCGAAACTGAGTTTGAGAAAAAACTTGTCTGTTACTCCAAGGACCCCTTTCCATCCCTCCTCTCTCACTATTCATTGAAGTTATTTTTTTTAAGTATCACACATATTTTAAGGAAGATAAGGGCAGAATCCTTAGAAGCGTGTGTTCCCTTCTCTTTGGCCTTGGCTGAACTGCAAAAATTATTTATTTATATTTATTTTGTTGTTGTAGTGGTGGTGGTGGTGGTGGTGTGCTTTCATGTCATTTCCAACTTCTGGCGACCAATAAGTTTTTCTTAGCAGGATTTGTTCAGAAGAGAGGAGGTTTGTCATTGCCTTCCCCTGAGGCTGAGAGAGTGTGACTTGTCTCTCAGTAAAGTATTTACTCAGTAAAGTAAAGTATTTATTTACTTTGACATGCCACTTTTTTCCCAGGCCAGGACCCAAGGCGGCTTCCATAACAACAAATTAAAAAGGTTTACAAAAAATTTTTTAAACCAGTTTAAAAACACCACACTGAGACACGATAAACCTGATTTAAAATAATGCAAAAGTTACAAACGAGAGAAAACATCCATCTAGATGAAGAACCTGCCTGCTTAAGCATTAAAAGCTTGATTAAATAAAAATGTTTTTGCTTGCAGGGAGGGGATCAGCTTAGTCTCTTGCAAAATGGACTTCCAGAGGTTGGGAGCAGCCACCAAGAAGGCCCTCTCTCATGTCCTCAACAGGCGAGCCTGTGATGGTCCCAGACCAAGAGAAAGCCTTCCCCTGATGATCTTAAAGCTCTGGCAGGTTCATATGGGGAGATCATAGATTCATAGAACCATAGAGTTGGAAGAGACCCCAAGGGACATCCAGTCCAACCCCATTCTGCCATGCAGGAACTCAAAATCAAAGCATCCCCAACAGATGGCCATCCAGCCTCTGTTTAAAGATAAGGCCTTTCAAATAGCCTGGACCTATAAACAGTCTGGGAAAAGTGCAGTTTGACACTGCTTTAACTGCCATGGCTCCATGCTATGGAAATCTGGGATTTGTGAGATATTTAGGGCCTTTGCAGACTGCCAGAAATAGTGCAAATTGAGTCCACTTTAATGGCCTTGGCTCAGTGCTAGGGAATCATGGGAATTGCATTTTTTTTCTTGAGACATTGAGCCTTCTCTGTCAGAGAGCTCTGCTGCCACAATAAACTACAATTCCCATGATTCCCTAGCACTGAGTCAGGGCAGTTCAAGTGGACTCAATTTGCACTATTTCTGGCAGTCTGCAAAGGCCTATTATTAGTCTTCTCAGAGAGCTCTGGTGCTATACCAAACTACAAATCCATAAGATGGAGCCATGGCAATTAAAGCAGTGTCAAGCTGCATTACTTCTGCAGTACGGCAGCAACCTTGGTTACCTTCCTCTAGGATATGTTCCTGCATGTCAATAACCTTCCTCAACTATGGAGGTCTGAGCAAAGCAGAACCGAGGTAGGAGCTAGGACTGATCTGAGAAGGCGACTCCTGTTGATGCTGCCCAGATCCGCATTGGCTTTTGGGC